ATGGTCAGCATAGTTGCCTTCCAAGCAGTTGATCCGGGTTCGATTCCCGGCCATCGCAGTTTTTTTGGTTCCTATTATACAGAGTGAAAATTTGAAAATTAACTTAAGTAAATATCCTCATTTTTCTAAATAATATACAGAACTGGGAAAAATAGCTCATTTTGGTTATTGTTAAATGTGAATTTTTTTTTTATTTAAACAAAAATGACCCTGCATCAACTACTAAGAGTTATTAGCAGGGGTACAAACACAAAATTACAAGTATTTAATTTCTTACAAGGTATATATGTATAACTTAAATATGTTCTATTAAACAAATGTGAATTTTGTTCTCAGTGAATATGACAAGCTTAGGTCTAACAATTTTACATAGACAGGGGAGTAAAGGGACACATAATTTTAAGAAACGTTTCTGTGTTTCTCCTATTGTAGTCTAAACTAATATTTTTTCCTAAAAGTTGCCATAAAAAATCGTTTCAAAATTACAAAACCATGTAGATCTGGCATGTATACGAAATTATTTAAATAATAACAATTTTTTTATTGAGCCATTAGCCCAGTCTGGTTATGCAAAAATCATCGAATTCTCGGCAAAATTTTTCGCAGATATCTGAAGCTTTTAAGACATAGATGGAGGTTACTAGATGAAGAATAGATGAAAACGTACTCGTATTTTTACCTTGCGTTTTTTTAAACAATAATTTATGGTCACAATTAATTTTTTGTCTATAAGTTTTTTCCCTTATATATTACATAAACAATATTTATATTATTTTTTTATGTCAAGAATATTAGACTAGACGGGATCTGTAAAAATTCAGGCCATAATGGACATTTTCCATAGGAAGCTATTTTTTTGCTGGAATCCCTTCAGGATGGGCTCAATATCGATAATCACGATATGCGCCAGTCGCAAACTCTGTGCTAAATTTTTTATTTAACAAAATTTGAAAACAATTGAAAATTTCTCATTTTTTTGCTCCTATTTTCGTTTATAATTCGAAAAATATTGATCCTAGAGAAAAAATTATAATTAGTTAAAAGTTTCGGTATTTAATTTTACACAATATGTCGTTAGCTAGAAATTGAAAATTTAATGTTTATTGTTGAAAAAATAGCAATAATTGGAAAAAAAAATACAAAAAAATTAAGTTAGTCCTTTAAATGTTTTCTACTTTTTAAACTTGACTTACAAGCTCCATATTCCGCCTAGAAAAACTTTTTAATATGTTTAAAATGTGTGCTAATTTTTTTTAAGATCGGTCGGATAGGTTTCGAATAATAATTTTGCAATCCAGCCTACTGGAAAAAAAATCGCAAATTTTCAAATTTAGTAGGCCCCAAATAAGGCCCTTAGAAAGTTGCAATTTTTTTTACATATAAAAAAAGGCTCAAACTTCCAAACGCTTTTTGTAACATTCAAATCGGTTCACTAGAAGAGCCTAGAAATTTTTTTAAAAGTTTTAAACATTTTTTAGGCTTATAAACAAATTAAATAACTTTACGAGCTTTAAACATATCATTTTCGATTCAAAATATATTTTAAAAATCAAATATTGTCATTATTATGATAAAACTGCAGAAATTAATTATTTTAAAAAGTTTGATTTTTACAAAAAAAAAAAAAATTCGTTCGCCTTTGTTTTAACAATTCGATTTCGAACGAACTTCGAACGAACTATCTCAGAAGTTAAATGCATATTGCGTTTAACTGAAATGCAATCTGAAAAGTGAAATCATTGACAAAATGCAATAATTTTGTCAATGATTTCATCGAAATCATTGACAAAATAAACATTTGAAAAAGGGATATGTTTTTTACTTATAAACAATTGTAATACCTTCTATATTTTTCAAGCTACAGACTTGTAAGTACAACCACTGGATAGCTGGTAAAAAAATTCTCATTAAAAAAAAAGAAACCTGTGACCAATAGGAACGAAGTTAGGAACTATTTTAAAAAAACATATATTCATTGTTTATAAACATTAAGAAGTAAAATTTGCACAAATTTTAAATGAAAAACTAAACTTTATATTGAAACTTATAGCTATAAAATTCATTAAATTTTTCGAAACTTACAGCCTTTCCAAACGAAGGTGCTTTCGAAAGATCGACATAGGAAAGTGGAGGGGATAACTGTTTCAGCTCGGTTTTCTTTTTTCGAAATCAGAACTTTAAATTGAAACACGTTGGAAAAACATTAGGATACATAATCTCGGCTTTTATTAAAGCTAGAAGCCTCTTTTTTTAATCTGGGGTAGCTCGTTGAAATATGAATAACTACATAGTTTTTACCAGCGGGAAATATGGGAAACCTCGGAAAAATTGAGTCCATTTGAAATTCACCGTAAAAACTAACTTTTTTTCTATTTGGCTGGGCTGGAATAGTCTGTCGGCAGTATTAATATTGATGACATAATTTTCACACTTTGTCGAAAGCTTTCTCAAAGTCTATAAACGCAAAGAAAGGATCTTTTTGTTGGTCTCGACATTTTTGAGCAAGAGTTGTGAAACTATACAGAGCTTCCATCGTTCCGAAGCTGTTACGAACACAAACACAAACACTTAACGTAAAAAGTGAAAATATATTGTTTATTTATGAAACGTTCCTCATACAATAAAAAAAATGGTTTAAATAAAAGTTGTAGACGGAGTAGTTGTAGATGGAGAAATAAAAATAACAAAATAAAAACAAAAGGCAGAATTCACAAAACAGTGATCAGACCAATAATGACATACGCGGCAGAAACAAGACCTGATACAGAGAGGATAAAAAGAATGACAACAGAGATGAAAACACTTAGAAAAATTGATGGTGAGACACCAAATAGAAGATTAGAATGGAACGATCATATAAGCCGAATGACATCAAATAGAGCAGTAAAGACGGCAAGAGTTCCCCAATAGAAAGACGATCAGTAGAAAGACCACGAAAAAAATTGAAAGACAACTTACTGGAGACACATTGAAAAACAAACAGAGTCATGTCTATATAAAAAGAAGAAGAAGATAATTTGTTTTATTTTGTTAATCGCAAAATAGTTATTTAAATTTATTCAAGTAGTTCCTTACTGTGGCCCAAATTTTTTTGTATTGCTGTAGAATGTAATATTGTTTAAGTTGGGTTAGCAATAATCAATTTAGAGACCACAAGTACTTATCAACAACTATCTTCTACAGCAAATGTAGGTATCACTTAATAATGCAAGTCTTAAAGTAAGACTTAAGTGTTTCTAACCATTAAATTATCTGTAATCTCTTCTAAAATTTGCCACCTTTGTATCTGTTCTATTTTTGACACCTGAACTTAATTAATCACAGATCAAAGATCAAGATGATTTTTTAATTTACGTTAAAGTATCAAACAACAAGATTAGCACAAAATATTACACATTTATCTTAAAAATAATATTAAGATTAGTAATATATATATTTTTTTTCATTTTAAAACCATTATTTAAGAAATTAAAAAAAATTGAGAAAAAAAAATGAAACCGTAAATTTAGATCAGTAACATAAAGGTCATGATAGTTGTTGCTGGTTATTGCCTATTTTGAATGGTGGTGCTGAATTATTTTATCAGAAGGTTCCAACAGCTAATTTTGGATGACCGTAATATCTGCTTCTAATGTGACTTCATGAGCCCAACTACATGACTGCAGGCCATTAAGTTGGGGTGCCTATATTGTAAAAAATGACGCGCACCCTATCCTCCATGCTACGGCATGCTAGACGAGCCATACAGTCTGTAGTCAACACCCCGTGGTATGAGCGATAACACAAGCGCCTTCACAAATTACTCTTTTTCAACTTGTCTTGAGTGATAGGTCTTTAATATTTCCTATTAGCCTCTCTTGGCTAACTCTTCTTTTTTCTGACCCCGAATGGCTATTAGGATTCTGAGGGCAGATGGGTCACTATATTTCCTTCTACCTTATACTCTTTAGTATGACGTCTCATTCAGTGTGACGACTCATTCACCAAGCGATTGCCGGTATAATCAATCCCCCACTTACTGACCAATGGCTTCGGGCGAATGAGTTGGTAAAGTCAGAGCCAAAAAAGCGTACTATGAGCCTCATAAGTCATCTCCCAAAATTGTTCCAAAAGATAACTCATAAGAGAATCTACAAGCTGCGTGAAAGTCAAATTTCCCAAAACTAGTTCGGGTTCTAGTTTTGGTTTTTGGTTTGGTTGGAGTTAAATTATTTAGGTAACCCGGAATTACCCTAAATATATCACAATTTTCATATTTAATTCAAGTTTGACATGAATCAGAAACAGTAAAAAAAATTCTAATCAATCATTACAGTGCTGTATTTTAATGCAATGGGTCAAAACTTAAGTCCGTCAGCTAAGCAGAAGTTGATATTGGAGACGGGCAGCTGGCACTGACTTGTGAGTCACCGGATGTCTGGCGTCTGGCTCCCCTCCACTACTCACTCCACCCTTTGTTTCTGTTAGTCTGACTCCACCGTTCAATCTGACAGCAAGTGATTTGCGCGTTTATATGTATTTCAGTGTGTTTTTTTTAGTGTGTGTGTGGTTTATGACTTGTGAATTCCGTGTGGTTTTGTTGTTTTTCTATCATGAGTAAAAAAAAACTCTATAACAACGAGGAAATGCACTTTAGCTCCTATAGTCGGACAACCTCTTGACATTAGTGATATTAATGTTTTACCTACTAAAAGTGACGTGCTGATGCATTTTGAATGGGTGAGAAATCAGTTGAAATGTGAAGGATGCTACCAACCACAGAAAAAGTTAATTGCAATGCGGTGACACATAAGTTAGAGCAAATTTGGAAAAAATCATCAATACCTGTTTCATCTACTAACAATATTAAAAGATTAACAAATGTGTGAAAAGATTAACAAATCTTCAGGTTGTAATACAAAAAATGCCAAGAGTTTTAAAGTTGCAGTTAAAACGTTTAGATCTGACATTGATAATAGTCTTTTTGATATTTGTTAATGCAAATGTAGTGAACTAGACAAATGTTTGTACCTAGCTTCAAGAAAAGGACCAAAATTAGATCATGCATTCTTGACAGACCAACGGAACTTGAGGATGATGATGATTATCGGAGGTATTGACCAAGCAGGGTCTAAAAAAATTGAAAAACGAAACAAACAGTAAAACAAAAGTAAAACACCTGCCTGCCTGCAGGCTGCCAGTGAATCTGTCATTGTTTTCTAGGGCATGTGATCGCAGAAGCATTTCAAACAGAGCAGGTGCTCAACTAGCAAGTGCTCTTCTACAAGATTTAAATCTCATATCACCAGAAAACCAAGCCGCAGTTATTGACAAGTTCAAGATTTTTCGTAAAAGGTTAAAGAACCGCCGATGTATTAATTCAACTCACTCAAACGAAATAATTGCTCTTTACTTTGATGGTAGGAAGGATGAAACCATAATCAAAGAAATTGTACGTGGGAAATCTGTCTGTAAAACCATACAAGAAGAACACATATCTTTGGTCGAGGAACCAGTTTCAGCATATTTCGGTCATGTAACTCCAAATAGTGGATCTGGGAAAGATATAGTATTTTTAATATTAAGTTACATGAGTGATAACTCAAAAATCAAAGCGCTTGGATGTGATGGTACGGCAACGAATACTGGAACCAGTATTCCCTTTGTTCTAGATCGAAGAAGCATTACAATACCTGTGGCTTTGAAGGCTAACTGGATTTGTTTAGCCAATATCCTTCAAGATGAAATAAAGAACCATTTTAAAGATTTTTCTTGTTCAACTTTTTATCTGTAATCTTTAAGTAAACTTTTGTATTTCTTTAATAAATTTCGTACCTCAAAAACAGTCTTTTATTGTTTTAACATAAAATATCCCAAAGTTTAAATAAGTCAATATGTAATTTATTGTGCATTAATTGTGTTATAAAATACTAATAATCCTACTAACCTAAGTAGAAGCAAAAAACGGGCTTAACACCTAATCTTAATAAAGAGAAGATATCGATTTTTCGTTGTTACAATTGAGATTTTCATAAAGATTCCGGGTGACTTTATGCTTAGTTACAGATATTATCCTAATTTTTATTGTTCAATGGTATCACGTACTTAATATTTTTTAAGTTGAAAATAAAAATATAAAATTAAATTTTCAATAAAAAAAAAGATGAAAAGTCGTGTTTTTGAGAAAAAATTTTAAAGTTTAAGTCGATTCCGGGAGACCTAAATATGTTTTAATTAACTTTTTTCCCTGAAAGAGTAATGTAAGAGGCAATAGAATACTACAAAAGTGTGAACTTTATGACCAAATCTATAAAGGACAAAAGGTTTTAGTGTTACTTCCATTTCTCAATCTTTTATCGGAGCAAACATTTGTGGTAACACATTTTCCAGTGTAACCTTTTTTCTTCAACAAAACCTAACGGTCCTCAGAGCCGTTTCCCAACACTTCTTTCCAGTTTTAAAGTAAATGCGTCGCCTCTTTGGCGTCATTACTCCGATAAAATCTTAATCCTTTTAAAGGACAATTCCCTTGTTTATTGCCTCTTTGTCACGACATATGTCAACTCTTATCAGACGCTCTTTCGTCCTTGCAGGACTCCCGGCTCTCATTCCCATCCTGCCCGCCTCTATTGGGGTTATCTACAGGTTCGTAATTCACCCGCTTATCTCGCCGTTCCGCTTTTATTCTCTGCCAATTTTAATTTTTTTTAATGAGGCCTTTATATTCAGGCTAAATAAACCGGACAATTAACTTAATAGATCTTTATGTACGTTTTAAGACAAAGTTTACAAATATACTACGTTTGAAAATTATTGAAAACAACGTTTTTATGACACAGCCGATAATCCCCAATGAAATGTTATATTTATTAAGTGAAGAAGAATTTCAAAATTATTCAAAAGTAAAATATTATCATTAAAAATCAGCTGTCTCTTAAAAACGAAAGGAAATTAAATATTTACAGATGAAAACAAAGTCTTAACAGGGGAGAGTCATTTATAGGGTGGATATTATAATATATCTGTAATCGTCCTGAAAAGTAACTGTTGTTGTAGAAATATCTATACAAGTCATACTTTGATGAAAAGTAAAAATTGTACAAAAAAATGATTATTATGAAGAACATATAACATATAGAACTAAAAACTTATAGTATAAAACATTGAATGGACTGAATCAACTGAATTTTTTAAGAAAACTACCAAAAACCTCTCTCTCTGTCTCTCTTTTTCTTTCTTTCTCTGTCACTATGACTACAAATAAAATATCACATTTTTAAGTTTGTTAGCCAATTATGGAATCTAATTTCATTATTGGCTAATGATCTCACTGAGATTTGCTTTTTTTCTCTCCCTTCGTTAACTTCTCTATAACTTACTTGATTATGCCAATTATTTCTTTTGTTAGTGTACTCGTATGCCCAACACATTTCCATTTCTTTCTTTTAATGCTAACTGTTATCTTCTCTTTTTGTTCGACTCCATAGATTCTATATATGTGTTCTCAGGTCTGCATATTTTTAGGATTTCTCTTAGTGATCTATGAACAAGTGTTTGCAAGTTTTTGTGGTTTTCTTTTTACGTTTTCAAGTCTGCGCGTCTTTTTAAGCCCAGCCCAGTTTGCGGAAACATCGAGATGAGGCTCGCGCAAACCGAGTTCCAGTTCCCTCAAATAATTCAAAATGGACAATGGTGCTATTGCTGCTGCAGCTGTTTTCCTATTCCTATCGATATATTATTTATGTAAAACGAAACAGACATCAAACAAAAAGCTAAGACGCATGTGGATCAAAAGGCTTTACGAGCGAACCTTATGGAATAAGTTTCATTTTAGGGTCTGTAGAAATATCTTTTTTTTTATCTAATATTTTATGGAATAATTTTAATAATTTCTGGAATTTATGGAATAATGTAGAACTAAATTTTGAGAACAGTAAACACTGTTTGTATTTTGAGAACGATTTCCGAATTGGAAATTGAAACGTCAATAAACGTATTTTTATCTTTAATTGTGGCCTATTCCCAGTTATAAATAGTAATTAATTTACAATGCCACAAGAAAATAGCTTCAGAACAATATGAATTATTTTTGTAATTAGAGTGCCTGAACAAAAAATTATCACTTTATTTAATAAATTCCATGTGCGATGGTGGTGTAATGGTCAGCATAGTTGCCTTCCAAGCAGTTGATCCGGGTTCGATTCCCGGCCATCGCATAACCTTTTTGTTTTTTAAAAGGATAATTCTAAGATATTGTTTGGTCATAAGCATAAATATTTATAGTAATTACTGTTTTTATGGGAATAAGCCACATTTAAGTTTATATAATTAAGTTTATTGAAGCTTCAATTTCCACTTCGAATATTCGGTCCGCTAGGTATACCTGGCCATGCTTGGTAAAGAGGCAAGTCTATTGTATGTTGTATCTTTTTTAATGTTAGTTGCTTAAGAGAAGCCAATATTGTAATCAATTTACGATAATTGAAACTGCCACGTGTGATAATTTTATTTGAGTTTTTAAATTTCATTTTTGTATAAAAAGCAGGTCAGTGTGACTGATTATTTATCAGTTTATTATTCAAATATATTTTAGACCATACGAGCTGGTCAATCTGTTATCCTATTTGAGGATAGATGGACAGCTTACGAGGAGAAGAGTTGAACCCCTATGGTTTGTTTTAGGATTGTAGGTAAATGTTTTATCACAACATATCTATTGCGTTTAATGACTCTCGTACTCAATTAACAATTTTATATGGCGATTTCAACACAAAAATAGGTGTAAAAGAAGCAGAGCTAAATACATGCTTGGGAAAATTCAGTTCCCCAGAAAGAAATTACAGAAAAGAAACACTACTGGATTCCTACTCCAGAATAATTTATTCAACATGAACAGCTTCTTTTACAAAAAGATGTACAGAAGATGGACCTGGGAAAGATGAAACGGTCAAACAAAGAACGAAATCGACTACAGAACGTAGTAGAGAAAAACCACCTACACTTTGGGCTGACGACATCAGGCGTATGACCAAAAATTGGCAACAAAGAGCACAAAATCATAAAGAAGGAAAGGATTTAATGGAGGCCTATGTCCAGCAGTGAACGTGATTAATAAAGGCTGGGTGATAAATATAACAATATATAAAATATGATTTTATGCTAAGGTAAAATTTTTTTCCGATATAAAACCATATATTTTGTCAAGTTTGCCTTAGATTTTTTCAATTCCAAAAATTACGATATCTACAAACATCCCCTGTTTATACGTTTCTAGAAAAAAGTGTTTATATTGCTTTCGGTATTTTCATAACAATTCAAATTTTCTGCAATCAAATTCCAAATAAGTTGTTGTTTTTGGAATAATCTTATCCCATTTTTAACTTATCAACATAGTATGCAAGCCTTGTTATTAAAGAAAAGATTGTACGATAACGATATCCGTGACTAGAATAATCGCTACATTTCTGGTACACTACGTTGCATAAATTAAAATACAAAATTTTCTCATTATTCCATATACAATAATGGCTTAATTATTCCACGGCTGGTCCGTAACCAATTTCGTATAGCCGCGAAAATTTTCCTTATAAAAATACATATTGTATGCGAGAAAGTTACTAAATATCCAACGATATACGTAACATACTGAAGTTTATAATGATTTATTTTTGTTTATTTTTGAAACTCTCTCTGAATTTATTATTTGTGGAATAATTTCGTCGAGGAATTGATTAATTACAAATTTATTTCTGATTACATGATTTAAATACCCAACGTACATTTCCGTCCTCTCAAACAATGCATTTTTTGCAGGTTCTACGATGATAGGCGGAGCACCGCAGGATATTAGCAGCATCCAATCCCAGCAGGAAAACAGCAACTCACTGCAGCAACTTCTTCAGCAGCGCGAAGAAGAAACTAGACAGGAAATTGAAAGACTGACAGCCGAAATAAGGGCACTGAAACTTCAACTTCTTCAATATACCAACAGTAAGTCATCTCTTACAGTTTTCAATAGCAATGAGCAGTTCCTCGTTTTCCAGCGCTAAACTTCTACCATTCGCTGTTATAGAGGGCGTCATGATACGCATTAGATGATACAAGAGTCTAAGTTTTTTCTAAAAGATTTTTTGTTAAATTACATTACAGAAATATCATCCAATCCAACTGCTTTATCTTGCTAAATTTTTTTTAGAAGTTCTTCAGCAAACTTTATCTTTCGTGATCTTGGTGACCGTTGTTAGCAGAGTATGAGTCGCTTGGGACACCCCGCTTTATACCAATTCTGACGTCACAAGATGGCGGCTGACATCTGTCAAATGTCAACGGACATCTGTCAACTGTCATCGTTCAAACGTGAAGATGGCGTCAATTCTTCTTTTTTCGTCTGTCTTTTCTTAAACGTGAAGATAGCGTCAATTCTTCTTTCGTATGTCATCGTTCAAACGTGAAGATTGCGTCAATTATTCATCTTCTTTCGTCCAACACGTTAACGTATCTTCATATCCCTACGTCCCTACTAATACGTATCCTCATGACCCCACGCCCCGACGTGAATCGACCAATACGTCGAAGTTACTGTCTTCGTCGAAATGACCTGTTAAAATAAACAAGGTTGTTTTTTGTTTCGCTATTTAATATAATCACCATTTTATTCTCGGTATATTTTATATATCAAGTTGATCGTATTGATTTCTATACGGTTCTGCATCAACTTATACTAGTGCTAATTTCGTTTCCTTTCTAAGTACTTTACAGTTGTTAATATCTTTATTTCGACCCATTTTCTTGAATTACTTTTACTACCACCAGGTTATTTTATTCTCAACTTATTTCCATAGGTTTTTCTAAGTATTTCAGCTGCAGTCTTACAATTTTTGTTAGTTCTGTACCAAGATGTGACTACACTATGACGTAGACTGTTTTTACTACGCCTAAGTACCCAATACTTATATTACCGTGTCAATAATTTTGTCTGGTTGTGAAAATGTTAAAATTATTTAATTTTTCCCACGAAAATAATTACGTATTGTAGACACAGCTGCAATTTGCTTTTCTCCAAATACATAATAAGAATGTTCATATTGGCACTCAAATTTTAATTAGTCTGGCGATTCTTATAAAAAGAACGGAACATCCCGATATCATGTGGTTCCTCAGTTTGTTGTCGCAATGGCCACTGACGTCAATTTATAAGTTTTTTGAGTACAGTTTAGTGGTGACAAATTAGATTTTCAATACACATTGTAATGCGCGGTTGATTGCTAAACCTTCACTTATAATTTCATTAAATTCTATATTACGGTTTTTTCTGCTGGCGAAAAGAGGGTAATGCACCCCTACGTCCTGTCACTTCTAAACGTTTGTGGCGTTAGCGTATAGGCCGAAGAGGAGAACGACCTTGACTTAACCGCTGTCGGGGTTTTTGAGTGAGTGTAAACATTTTGAATAGCCGATTTTTGTTCTTTTTGCGGTCAATTGGGGATATACTGTATAACTCCTTTTATTAATGAGTTAGTAATTATATTAATGATTATTAAGTCGAGTATTTTTAAAAATTATATTTATTTGAATAAAATTATATGATTCATTTTGTATTTGTTGAGAACTTACATAAATTTTTATATTACAAGAACTTTATGTGATATTTTTAATAAATACAAGAGATGATAGTGAAATTATAATAAGAAACCAAATAGAATACATAAAAATAAATCAAAGATTCTGAAATGCCATAATATCGGCTAAAGCATACCCAGGAGCAGAAATCAGCGATCATGATCTAGTAGTAGCAAACATAAAACTCAAGTAAAATAAGTTAAAAACAACTGCCAAAACACTGAGAAGTAATCTGAGAAAACTAAAAGAAACCGATATATACCAACAAATCAAAGAACAAGTGCATAAAGAAGTTAAGAAAGTAGAAAGGCAAAAGCAATGCACAGCAACCGATATATTGAGGAAAGTAGAGAAGACCTTGAGAAATATCACAAAACAGAAACTTTAATAAGACACATCATCTAAAAATAAACAATGGATCACACAAGACATAAAAGAACTGATGACAGAAAGAAATGCACACAAGAATAAAAACGAAAAACAGTACAAAAAAATTAATAAAATAATCAAACAGAAAATCATATAAGCTAAGGAACTGTGGCTATCAGAAAAATGTGAAGAAATAGAAAGGTTAGATAAACAACATGACAGTTTTAACATACACATCTGGATTGATCATCGCACTAAGGTATCGATATTATAACAACTTAAAGTAAAGGATAAATTGCTTAAACAAATACAACAGAGATATTTGTAGTATTTTGGACACATTGTTCAAAAAAACAGGTACGATTGAAAAACTGATAGTTGAGAGTAAAGTTGAAGGAAAGAGACCCATTGGAAGATCTCCAATCCGTTGGGTAGATCAAACAAAAATATTGATTAACCAAGGGTTACATGAAGCCAAACAACTAGCCGAGGACAGAGAAGAATACAGAGAAATCCAGAAAAAACTGTAAAGGCTTGATGGTGTCACCACATCCCAAAAGAGATTAGGACTGAGAAGGAAGATGAAATGCCAAAACAATACTATGTCGCCATCTGTTATTCTCGGAGAAAACTAATCTTGAGCCACTATGGCTTTAAAAATATTATTATTTCACTTCGTTTTTTGCGATAAAGTCTAAATATAAAAAAATGTCACTTGGACCATTCTGGTTCTGGTGGCCTCAATTAATCTTCTGTCAGTCATCATTTGATTTATTGTAATGTTCTCAGATATATTGGCTTCTTACTTCAATGTTCGGAGTAGACATCTAATGTTATAGTGTTATAGTCTCACTGATTATTACCAATTATAAATGTGATTATCAGAATATCAAAAAATCAAACAGCAACATACAAGCAGCTACACAATACAAAGTCCTTGATCAAGAATTAAAAACCGCAAAAGAGAACCCCAAACCAAATATATAAATTTAAAAACTTTTTTCCTTATATATGTGACATTTTACTTAAGATTACGGATCATAAGAGTCTCGTTTTCTTTAAACAGAGCATCTTCCATTATAATATAGAACTAAAAAACATTTTTTTTGATAAAAATTATACCTAGGTACATTTTAAGAAACTCGATATTTTTCATTAAATGAAAATTGACCAGAAAACTTCTCGATAAAGTCCAAAAAGCTTTTAACAACTTCTCCGAATTCGCTGAACATAAATAATCCTTTTTGTCATAGAATCGTTCAATCAACAGCAAGAAAAAAAGTTTCTCGGGGGTTTTGTTTGCAATACCATCGTTGCCAACAAAAAGCCGCCGTCGATTATCAGGTAAACTTCCATTTGTATGTTCCTCGTGCTCTTCGCTTCCAAAATTGATGTTTATTAAAGTACAACACAAACTTTGAAGGAGTTAAGGGAGTTGCTGAACAGAGTGGAGTTTTTCTGTGACAGTGACGTATACAAATTTTTGTTTTCCGGGACGAAGAAGGGAAATCTATCGTTGAAAGGAATTTCCTTTAAGAGAAGAGACTGATTATTTTTAAAATCACAACAAAATGCTAAAATAACTAAACATATTAAATGCTAAATGTTAACTTGTTTTTAAATATCATTTTAAATATGTTTAAACAATATTAGTAAGTAATCCTTAGTCATATTTACAACATCACACATACAAACAATGATTACTATTTGACTCTTCTTTGTGACGCTTTTTTAAAATCAAAGCTTCACTTCAAATTATACATATTTTACTTTTTTTCTATAGTAAAATGCTGAGGTGAGCGTCACGGAACCACCGACACAAGATGGCGTCGTCACGTAACTCCACAAAATATCGGTTCTTTACATCGATTCACTGCTCTCGATCTAGTCATTATACATTTACTCTAAGCATGTTAAAATTAAAAATTACACGAAAACCAACTAACAAAATACAGACAATAACTAAAAAGAAAAAATCTAAAAGTATATTTGTCAATGAAAGATAGTAAAAGAAACAGAAAAATAAAAGATCGGTACTAAAATTCGATTCGTAACGATTTTAGAATGTCAAAATTACAAAGTCATCATATATGACATCCTATCCAATTAATAACAATATAAAATCATCTATTTAATAAGCTAAGTTCCTACAGCCTCTGCAGCTTCTCGCATTTCGACCGCCCTTGATTTCTGTCCATCCATTCGTCTTCTTTGATGGCTCTATCATTACTCGTCATTATCATTATCGTACATTTTTTTTTCAGGCAACTGAAGGCGGTCCTCTTCTTCTTCTTTGTTGTAATTCTTGATATGATTTTTTTTTAGATACACTACACGCTTTCCTTAGAAAATCCATTTCTACTACTTTTATTCTTTTTCTATCTTTTTTCGTGATGTGCCAGACTTCTGCCCCATAAGACATAATAGGCTCTATCAAGGTTCGATAGATTGTCAATTTCGTTTCTTGTTTAATATCTTTAGACCATAGTAGAGAGTTTAGAATGTTAACCGCTTTTTTCCCTGCTGCGTTCTGTTTTCGATGTCTCTTTTGTAAGTGCCTTTTTTAGATATTATAGATCCGAGATATTTATATTCATTTCATATTTTTGTTGTTCTAATTTCTAACTCTGTATCTTCTTCATCATCTCCTATTTTAAGATACTTTCTTTGACATATTCATATTTAGGCCCCATTTTTCCGGATACTTCCTTCTTCCACTGCTCTAGCGATGATTAAATATATATTTTAAATAAGGTCGGAGATAGACAACTTCCTTGTTTCAGCCCCTTTGTTGTTGGAAATTATTCAGATATAAAGTTTCCTTCTTTGACGACACTTCTTGCATTTTTGTAAATATTTGCGATAGCATCCACATATTGTTTGAAACATTTTTTTGCAAATGTACCGTAGATTCCATACCTTCCGTTTTTCGATTACCTGCTGAAGAAGGAATATACCATCAATGCACGATCTTCCTGCACGAAATCCATTTTGTTCGTTTATTTCTTCGTATTCTGATTCTATTCTTTCTTTTGTTATTTGACCGTATAACCTTGCCACTAAGCCGATAACAGTTATTTCTTTATAATTAGAGCATTTGCGTTTATCCCCTTTCTTGAATATTGAGCTAATCTAACATTCCAATTATCAGGAATATTTTACCCTTTTAAGCATTTGTTAAATAGTTGAACCAACG